TGTCCTGGGCTGGCGGGCCCCCACTTGGCTTTAACCCTGGCTGCAGACCCACACTGGTGGGCTTTCCCTTCCAACTTGCCGTCCTAAGACAATGCTATTCCCAGAAGGCTTCAGAGCGGTGCGTTACCGGGGTCTGGTTGGGGGACCCTCTCAGTGCCCCTCCCTCGGTGCCAACACGTTCCAGGCAGCCAGGAAAGGGCTGGGGGCACAGTGGAGGGTGGGCACAACCCGCTGCCTGCTCCCTGCCCACCCAGCGGCCTTTCGCCTCTGCCCTCCTCCTGGGTGGAGCCACCCCTGGTGGCCTGAAACGGCACAAAATGGTCCCTCCATCTCCACTGCCACCAGAACCTCCTGCGGGTCAAGGAGTGGCCAGGGGATTCCACGGCACCAAGAGCTTCGGGCAGAGGCGCTCCCCAGTCCACAGGGCCCTCCTGTGATGGCGCCGCCGCCCGTGGACACCCCACAGCCAGCAGCAGAGTGGGCCCTGCCTGGCCTCACCTCCCAGGCTTGCAGCTTGAACCGCAGGCCCAGCTGTGTGTAGTCGATGGCAGCGTGGCCCCTCAGCTGTGCCAGGGCCAGCCGGAAGTCAGACAGAGCCTCCTGGAACCTGTGGGCAGCCGGGGTCCCCTCAGTGGCGCAGGGCGGAGACGGGGCTGGGGCCGAGCAGTTTTCACATCCAGCCCCGCTCCAGCGCCCCCCAACACCTGGTTCCAAGGAGACCTGAAGGAGGGCAGTGCGGTGCCTGTCTCCACACTCAGGTCTGGGTAGGTGGGCCAGGGGTCCATGAACATGTGTTCTGAGTGGGTGTGGGGGTCACCGTGTGCTGGGGCTCCAGCATTTTCCCAGGTGAGACTCAGCTTCCTGGGCCCCTGCCTGCCTCCAAGCCTCTCTTCTGAACTGTGCAGAGCGCCCTGGTTATTTCCCTCCCTCTTCGCAGGCTCCTCACCCCCAGGGGGCAACCTCTCCAAACTCTGAGCCTCCTTCCAAGCCTTGCTGGAGCTCCCCAGCGCCTGCCGGAAACGCTTCTCCTTCCGGCGGGCTTCCCGTGCCCATCTGAAGGAGAGGCTGCCCCCAGAGTGGTCTGGGTGGTCATCCAGAAAGGCAGAGTCCCACAGCCATCATCCCGAATGCTGGCTCCTCAGTCAAGGAAGAGATGGCTTTTTCGTTCATCTGCGTTTCTGAAAGGCAAAATAGCTCGAGATCCTGGCTCTCTGGGCGACTGCATACGTGGTGGCCCCTGAAGCCTTTGATGGATCTTGTTAGAAGATGGGTTGTTCGTCTTGGTGTTTTGATGACCAGCGATAAAACCAGGTGCACACAATCACCATCCAGAGTCTACGCACGTACGTCTTCCCCCTTCTGACCTAGCTCCTCACGAGCACTGTCATCTGCTCGTAGCTGTCACACCCGTGAGCCTGTCACTAGAGTGCATGAATTTGTGCTTGAAAAAATATGTATGTTGACAGGGTGCGGTGCTCATGCCTGTAATCCCAGCACTTTGGGAGGCCGAGGCGGGCGGATCACGAGGTCAGGAGATCGAGACCATCCTGGCTAACACGGTGAAACCCCGTCTC